CTCTAGGTATGCTGGTACTCACGTGAGGGCGTATGAAAGTTTTGGCGGGGAAGTTATTAACTCAGGAACTAGAGAAGCTTGAAGACTGGAATTTTTGGGAGTTTCCCCCGTCCAAGTACAACCTAAGTATTTCAAAATCAGCCTTCAGATGTGCGTTGTGTGAGCTCGTGAAAAATTTGACAGGGAAATTGCTAACTCGGTAACCAGAAAAGATAGGATGCCGAAATTTCAGGGGGATGCTCCTTGTCCATGTGCAGTTTAAAAATTTCAAATTAAGTTTTGGCGGGAAAATTACTAACTCGGGAACCAGGGAAGCTAGGAAGCTGAATCTTTAGGGCATTGTTTCCTGTCTAATTAGAACTTAAATGTTTCAAATTCCGCCTTCAGGTATGCATGGCTCTCTCGTATAGGTACTTAAAATTTTTGGCGAGAAAATTGCTCACTGAACAGTCAGCGTTATTTTCAAAGGGCTTGTGAGCTAAATATGAAAGATGAAACAGACAAATGATAAAGCTGAAGCTTTGCAAGGATATTCTTTGTGCATATTGAGCCAAAAGTTTCAAACTTGGCTTGAACAGACATATACATCTCGTACATGGACACGTCGAAGTAGTCTTTGGCAAAATGCCAATTCGGAAAATAAGCTAAGTAGGACGTTCGAACTTCACGAGAATATTTACTTCCCATAAATGGGCAACCAGACTAAATATAAACTTTGGCATGCACTTGGGTCGCGAGTTCCAATACGCCAAATGTTCCACGTAACAAGTAGCGGCTTCGCCAACCAGACATGCTGAGGAACTGAAACTACACGGTGGCATTCCATGCCCATGTACGACCAAAATACTACAATTTAAGCCTTGGGACATGCTCAGCTCTCGCGGAAATTTTTAGTTTCAGACAATGCTGGTGTCAAAATAATTTGGCACCCAGACCGAGCAGGAAGTAGTATTTTGCTGAGTATGTTCTCAGTTCACATGCGGATCTGTAGCTCTGAAGTGAGTTTCCGACTATGTACATGGACATTTTTAATTTGATATAATACTGTCGTCATCAGCATCTCTCCCTTTTTCTAATTACACAAGAGAAATGTAATTTTTCGATAATGCTATCATATCCCATAAGGCACCAAGCGCATAGTATCGCCGTTTACTAAT